TCGAACGTGGAGAGAGAGAGAGAGAGAGAGAGAAATTAATTGGATTTTATCATGCTGCCAGAGTCATTGCAAGTGGATTTTATGTCCCGAGTAATTAGATTACGAATACAAATGGCCGTGGAACGAATCGGACGTACGAAAGGAGACGACCGATGTATCCGAATTCTACTTGAACCGCTTTCAAAGAAAACTGCATTAGGGTGTTAAAGATAAAAAATCTCGTTGAGGGACGCAATTGTGCGGCGGAACAAGAAAAATCTCTTCCCTCGTTCGGATAGTCTCGCAGGATTTCGAGAAAAAGAAATCGTTCTCTGGTCTGAGTGACGTTGTTGGTGTCCCTTTCAACCGCGATAGTCTCCGACGATTCTTTCTTACGGGCATTCTTTTTCCCTCGATAGAGAGAAGTAATCGACACTTTTTACTAGAAAACCTTTTACCCTAAATCCTACGGTGAAACGAAATTTCACGGTCTCGATCGAATTTTCTTTCGCCTTAATCTTTTCTTTCTCTTGCTGGGTAACGCAATCAGTAGACTGTTGCATTTTTACGTCAAATACGACATTTGTGGTATTATTTAAAACAATGAGATTTAGATAGAAATATGTTTTATCGTTCAGACTACAGAATTTACTTCTGCCAGGCTTTATAATGAAATTAATGACCAGTAGATCCTGACTCATCCTGTACGCCAAAGACGGTTTCCACGTTTTTGTCTATTACGTTGTACAAGATGGTTAATAACCTCGTGTGAACGTCGTTCACACCGCTTCTAATTGCAAAAAGCGAATCCTGACTATACTGGTATCTTATTTCGAATTTAATACTGGAGTGTAGACGTGCACCGTTTTCAGCTAGCTACGTGGTATCTAGCAATCGTGTAGCGGCGAGATTGTTTGCTCGCGATGTAGCCGAGAGGTAATTAGTCGAGTTGGTAACGAGACTTTAAAAGTTGCCCGGTTCGAGCACGCCAGGAGAATCGGCGGCTTGTGTCTAGTCTGCACTGGTTAGCTTTTGTTCTGTTCGCATAAACAAGTAGAATTTACCTCCGATACATCTGCACAGGTCCAAGTTCCCCAAGTCACATCCGATTTATTCTCTGAATCAGAAATAGTGGTAGTGATAGTGACCGATGTACATTTTACGATAACGCGAGTTTCTCCTATCTAAACGTATTATGAAGATAATTTTGTTGTCAATAATGTTGTTGACATCCACGTGCGTATAATATCGAGAAGAACTGTTTGAGTATCTTAACGAGAGATAAATAAATTCTTTGGAAAGTTTTTCCTGCTATGATTATCTTTACTGTTGAGTTACTGCAGTCTGAGTACGATGTAAAACTTGCTTATGCTGGTGTTATAGCCAGCAGGAGTATTTTGATTTAAAGGTCCGCTACGCTCGGTCTCTCGTTTGCCGGAAATAAAGATCTCGAGTTTATTGAACGTAGCTTTCCCACGGGTTTACGGATCTTCCCTCTCATCCCTCCACTGTTCCCAAAAAGTAAAGCTAGGATTCGATGCTTCTAAAGTTTTTGTCTACGCCTTGGTCATTCGGAAGCGTTTGAACTGTTAATCAGGTATTAGTGCGCGACACACACGATGCGATTCACGTTCTAATAGCACTCTTTCTTTCTCGAAGAAATTAGTTTACAAGTATAAAGTTCGTATTTAAACGAACATTAATTGGCTAATGGCTGAAACGTTTGGAAAATACTTTTTACCCCAGCTTTCACGGTTTGTATTTTCTATCAACGTGGAAATTCGTATCGGAAAGCAAGTAGATAGAGATCGGAAATTCGCGATGGTAAAAGCGTTTGCATTCTCGTTGTCTGAACAATCGCGTCGCGAGACGGGATTCCGTATCGCGGGGGTAATTTTCAAGATACAGTTTCGCCCATTGCCACCATCACCACGCAGAATGTTTGCTCACGGAGTGCACAGAATGTTTGCTTACACGAATTATTATGCAGCCGGCTGCCCTCGCTGAATCCCAGCGTCTCGAAAGCTAGGAATTCCTCTCTCCACCTCTTCTAATTGTATACGTGCCCATTTATGAGCGAGACTCGACGACAGAGAGAACGTTTCTAATGCTCGTAAAATGGCCATAAAAATATCCGACAAGTTAGCTTAATGTTCACTTAATATTCCATCAACCTGGAATATTAAAATTCGATTCATAACCGATTATTGCCTTCCATGTTTATAATCATGCGCGTGCACTGTAGCGGCACTTTATTAATAATAAATTTGGGGCCGGTTGTTCGATTGGGTCGCCAGCGTATGCCATATCATAATTAATTCATTTAATACTGTGACAAAATATCGTTTGACAATATCAGCAGCTTTTCGGCTTACGGTATAATTCAATATAAAAGCGATCGTGCGTCTTATAACTATCGTATTCACGGGCTCAACAAAAATTAATTAGTATAATTAAGTGACAAATTGGAAAAAGTAAATTCGATGAAAAGAGTAATTGTACGTGCATCACTCGTATCGGTACGATTAGATTCGTTTTACATAATTTAACGAAACCCATCAATTAAACGGACGATCGATGGTTGGAAACGACTGTGCGCGGACAAATAATGGTTGCATGTATTAATGAATCGTTATGGACGTCCATTGTTATCGTAGAGAGGATCATCAGAATACCTAACGTTTATTTATCGCGTTATTACGCGCTGATGGAAGAGGAAATAATAATTTATGGTTGCATTAAATTTAAGATTTTACGACATTGAGTAACTGTTCGTAAAATCGTGGCTACGTTTTGTTTATACGATCTCGGCTGAATTAAATGGTTTTATGAACTTTGAACTTGATAGAATAAAATAAAATAAATACTTTAATGAATTGCATGTTCAGAAAGCAAAATAATTACGAAGATAAGCATCGAACTACGATAAGCCGTGTCTATCAGTAAATGAATCGAGTGAGAAGTAGAAAAAGAATGAAATGTAGTGTCCAAGGGCCGAGTCGTGGATATCGCGGTCAAAGGCATTGGGAAAGATTTAATTTGCGGCTCACCATTCTGCGGTGACCGTTCGCTAACGGAAAACCTCGATCGATTATTTTTCACTACCCTTACCCGTTCTTTCTTTTTCGTCGCATTCGAACAAACCGCAACGTTGCATATTGGCGATTCCGAAGTTCAATAATACATTCGTATCGCAGAGGGACTAATTGAAAATAAAAAATATTTCACGAAATCTACTTCATTCATAAATGGATATTGTCTAAAAATGGAAAGGTTATTTTACTATCGCTGCTCCAATTTAAAATATCGTTTTTTTAGAACCGTGTAACAGCTTTTATAAAGTGGTACACAATTTAGGAAGAGCTTAACGAGGCAATTTTGAGAACGGTGAACCATTCTGTTGAAAAGTTTACACGTAAAAGAGAACTGAACCCTGGCGAGGTCCGCGAGTGACTCGCTTTAGCACATTAGACGATACCAGCGGCACGTGGTAATCGCTGAAAAACTTGCCGTAATTACTTTTAATTGTTTCGAGTACGCGTCGAGAGTGAGAAACGTCGCGCGTTCGAGTGCCACTCAAAAACTTGCACGAGTTTCTTGCGATTCGTTAAACTATTATGAAGTTGGACTTATTAACTTGGCTGTTGGAACCTGAATAATATTATTATAAAAACGTCTATTATGAAACGCGATATCAATGGTAAAGAAGCATAATAAGCATACGACGCAGTGATGCCATCGATAGAATTTAACGAATGAAATAATAAGTAATTGCTTTGTATTAATAATGGATGATATGAAGTTGATTGGTAATTCTCTTACGAATGATTTCATTTAAAAAAAAATGAGATAATATTTAAGTGCGAATGCGAGAGCGTGCAATTAAACGGAGATAAAGGGGGAGCGAGATATAAGAAATGAAAGCGGGTAAACGAGTTTTAATATTGTCTCGCGAGATACTCAGTTGAAAGCGAGTGGTCCTCCGTCAAAGAAGATACCGGAGGAGAATGGGCTTTCTGCGAGTTCGCGACGAATAAAGAGTATCGCTGGATATCGAAGCAATCGTCGGAACGTCTAATTGGATCGTAGAAACGCGGGCCAGAAGGAACTTAATTGAAGCATCGTCGCGGAGACCAAAACGAAATCGGGAGGACGTAATTATCGAAAGACTGAAGCAGAATTCAAGAGCGTGCGCGATAACGGAACAACGGGGAAGAAAGGGACGGGAAAGCTTCTGCAAACTTTCCTCTCTCCGTTCTATGAAATCCGTAAAAGTTAGTATAACGTACCATGTCGTATTGGATTTCTTTTTTTTTATATGTAATAGAACTTGTGACATTTACGGGGAGGATTCTCGTCCCGATCGCGGAATCGTACAGGGAGACATCGGTGAAAATCGACTTCCTTTGGAAGGGCGACACGGAAAACGTTAAAAGTTGTCAACAACTCGTTTCTACTCTCGCGAAACTTTTATAAATCCTCTCCGGAGAGAAATCATCGCTGTTACGGAGTGACAGAATGATTTGGCTTCTTCGTTGATAACTTTGCTGTCTACTCGCGCGTAATTGACGCGATTCCACTGTTCGACGGTATCGCTCGATCTCCGGGTGATCGATCGAAAGTATCCCATCCGATATTTGACGGCGGATGCGTCAAAGGCAAATACCGAACGCACGATGCGCGTCGGATATCAATTATTGGCACGTGTGGTATTCCCGACACGTCAAGCAACGAGACTGGCTTGCGTGGTTTCCATTAATGTTACGTATGTATGTACGCTATTTCGAAGACGTTAATAAAGGATTTAATAAATCAATTAATTTTCATAGAACAAATCAATTTGTATACGTTATATAAATAATGAACATTTTAATTTAAGTGTATAAATTGAAGTATAACGTTCAAAGTTGGAATTAAATTAAAAATTAAAAACCACTCATTAAATTTAGCGTGTAACCGAACGTACACAGTGAATAAACGTTGTCGAGGCGAATGACGATATGGTAGACATTAATTTGCAGAATTGTGCGAGGAATGGGCACTAGCGACTAGTCACGAATGCGTGGAGGGCGGCGGTTCCGGTGGCGGTACAACGCAGGAAGAGCCGGAGGACGTATCCGAGGCCAAGTTCACTCTGAAATATTTGGGCAGCACTCTCGTCGAGACACCCTCGAGCGAAGAGGCAACCGCAGAGGCTATCAAGACCGTCATTACGATGGTACGTTCCAGCGAAACGACGATATCGTGCAGTTTCTTGTTACTCAAAGAAAAAGTTCAAAATATAGTTTGGTTTTGCATTTTGAAATTCATGTAAAAAAGAGAGCTTCGAAGGATCAGAGACAGATTGTAGATTTAATGCCTTTAGAGAAAAAATATCCGTGCAGAAAATATAAATGCATGTGATGTGAAAAAATCATGTAATTATTTTTGGAGGAGGAAAGAAATTTCATTTTTTAAATTAACATCACGAATGTTTTATCGTGCATACGAAATCTGTAGTCTGAAAATGGCGTCGCTATGTTCTAGTTTAATGCTAACTTGTTCGAAATCAGGATAGGAAGCTCTGTAAGCTTTTTGCGAGTGACTGAAATTCTCCTCGTTAACAGAATATTCTCTCGATGTCGTAGGCAAAAGCGAGTGGCAAGAAGCTGCAAAGAGTATCTTTAGCCGTGAGCCTGAAGGGTATCAGGATGACGGACATCGCCACGGAGGAGGATCAACTCAAAGTGTCCATATACAGGTACGAGGACATACAAAAATCAATCTGACTGTTACGTGTATAAAATCGAATGCTACAGATTTACTTTCTATTTTACGGCAATTGCCTTAAACGAACATGCTTTCCTCTCTGTATCGCACATGTAACAGGGGTTTCAGCGTGTTTCCTGTTCCGCGCGTTCGAACCGTACGAATGCACGCCGCATATACGCGATTGTCACAATTCGAGAGAGTTGTAATCGGAAGAAACCGGATTCGCTGGTTTCTGGCTCGTCGTATATTTCCCATCAGCGTCTGCCAACAGATAATATAGGTATCCGATATTCCAGCTAAAATGTATGTACCTCGAAAGCTTCGCTGCGACGTCGACGAGCAAACGTCATAAGAATATTATATATTCCCTCTGTACACTCGATGCGAAACTATGATTTATGTACTACGACCTTTAGCTGTTCTACCTGAATTTCCAATAAAATGCAATATCGCTCGCTTTTCACGATTATGTTTGCATGATAAAAAATTCGATTCAAAAACAGCCGTAATATCGGGGTTTTCGCAAGCATTAAGAAAGCGAGTAACGAGCAGAAGGAACAAAACGACGGCTTTATAGGCTAATATTTTCTCAACCACACGATGCATGCTGGAGTCTTTCACCGTTAATTCTGCTTTAATTAACCCGAGGTTCATACACGGCGGCCACAAGTCAAACATAATTAAAGCTCGAGATTTAATAACAGTTACACACTACGTTATTTCTCCGTAGCCTTGTTCAACATTCCTTTTTCATTCGTTCCATTAGCACAATTGTCAGATTTTAACTACTGAAAGACTGCACGTGCGTTCGTTACAGTAATTTTATATCGGACGGTCCAAGTTTTGAAACATCTAGACATTTACATCCGCGTTTTCGCAACTTTTCTATTTGCACTAATTGCTTTGTCGTGTAAGCGAGGATAGAAATTCGTGGGACCGTTGCAGACGAGCTACTCTCCCGCGGATGAAAAGTAATTTACATATTACGCGTATATTACACGCATTTGCATCCGTGTTCCTCGCGCTTCCTTGCTTCGCGTCGCGGAAATCTTGCTGACGGTAGGATAATAAATGTTGCAGTCTTAAGGCTTATATCACCGTTGCGTTAGTTACATATCAACATTAAGCAAGTTTCATGACGTATAGCAAAACATCCAGGATTTATTAATACGAATTATCATTTAAAATATCGAAACTTACTGATTAACTAAAACTCTTTAGAAAAATCAATTATAACACGAAATATGATATAAGTAGATACGCGTATTTATGACACGATCAATGAAAACTACGAATCTGCTTCGAGACGAAAATGTTAATCGCAAAGTGTGGCTCGAAATTTTTTCAGAATCTCTTATTGCTCCGCGGACGCGACTCACGACCACGTGTTCGCGTTCATCGCGACGAATTTGAACGAGACGATGGAGTGTCACGCGTTCCTTTGCCCGAAGAGAAAAACGGCGCAAACAGTGACGCTGACGGTGGCCCAGGCGTTTAACACGGCTTACGAGGCTTGGCAATTGTCCCAGGCCGATCCCAGGATGCATCACGCCCAGGACAAAAGTCCCTCGTTAAACGACTATGGAAACGGTAGGTAAATGAACTGTCAACCAATCTAGTTATCAACGTGACCTACAAACTGCATCAAGTAATTTATCCAACTAACGAAATGATTAATGTGTCATTCATTGTATTAAAGTTGTAAGATTTAAATAACTGAGGGTTTTCCAATCGAACGACTATTTGTTAATGTTGAAGAGTCCTATGATTTACTCCGAATTTAATACAGTTCCATTCTAATTAGAGGAGGATCGTTCGGTATGAAAAATGTATTGAAGTCTGTTACATAAAAATTTTGAAGGATAGTGGCAAAGCGAATTAGGAAATTCATTAAACGGAAAAAGGAAAAAGTCGGCTTTAATCTCGAATCGTTTGACCTGCGATAAAGGTATTTTAAGGTGTACGGCAATATACCTATGTGGTTGTGCACTTAACTTCTCCGAGAGTGCGGATATTGCGGGAGGGCTTCGTAGATGGTTACGAGTGCGCCTTAGGAAATTGTCCGTTAATATCGGACTCGACTACAACGCTACACTGGAAACTGGAACCGTTATAACTCCTCATCCTTTGTTCGCTCGAACATTGTTGCTGCTTCGAACGTAATTAACTGCGATTACAAAGTTGAAGTACGAGAATTCTACGGTTTCGTTCACAAGTACTTGGGTTAATAACGCACTTAATAAAATAACAAGCTGAAACGCAATAAACTCTTGTAACTTCAACTGATCCAGAAATTTAGAACGTTCTAACGTATGATTTAAAATTGTCGTCAGTTCTTGTACGCTTTATATGGGTTTTTCAGAGGGAGTTTCTGAAAATAAACGATTACTCTTCTTACATGCCCGCCGTTTAAGAAAGTTAGTTTCCTTAAATAAAAAATGGCTATTTTCGATGCACTTTCTTACGCCTTTCTTTTATTGTTCAAACTACAGTTTTGTATATGAGGCTGTTACTGGTAGTGAGACCGATAGATAGATCATGTCTTAAAGAATACCATATTTAACGGAATTGCCGATACGTCGATAAAAAGAATTGATAAATGCGAGAAAATGTTACAGAAGCTTTAGTAATACGAATATGTATAGGTAATAAATCCTTAACGTTTCTGAATAATTCCACCTGCGATCCTATGTATATATCCTACCTTGTTAGAGAAATACATTTTTCCTCTGGAAAAATAGCACTCTGCGAAATGGACTTTTTCTTCTGTCCCGAGACCATCAATTTTTACGTGAATATATCGACTTTTTCCACGACTACAATAAATTTGCGGAGTCTCGGATAAATGATAATTGTTCGGAGGATATTATGTGTAATCAGAAGTGAGGAGAGACGTTCGTTTATATTTAGCAACTCCCTTCAGAACACTACGTATTTTCAAAATATCTGTTGAATGAAACGTGAAGCCGATGCATAAAGGCATACGTTAAAGCGAAAATCAAAGGCATCGTGTCTCTGACCCGGGATATTCTTTTAACCAGCGCAGCGGTTGGAAGGGCGATGTATCGAACGCGTCTGCTACAGCGCGGCGGGTAAATAATTGGCGGCGTATCGGTAATTAATGAGGTGACTTCGGGTTCATAGTTTAGTGCCACAAAATGACTCGATGCTACCAATTAGAGGCAAACTGGAAGTCGGTGTGTTTGCACGTACAGGTTTCAGTTTCCACACCGGCTAGATATCGTCGGTGTGCCGTGTACCGCACGGTGGGTCGATAAATGAAGCATCTAGAATCTAGGAAACAGTTGCGAGACGAGAGGTTTCCATTTCGCGATTTGCCTAAATGGGATTCGACTATCTCCGTTTGTTTGCTCGGCCTCGTTGATGCTAAACCTGCGCGCGGCCTGCTGGCCTCCTCGAATGGTACTAGATGTTTCATTAATTACCGCTTGACCTTTGATTGTTCAGAAAACAGCGAGAAGAAGGTACCGGAGAAAGATGCGAAAACAGTGGGCAAAGTGAACGAGCAAAATAAAGAGGATCAACGATCTAACCAACAGAAAAATTTGTTGATCGATTTATCGAACGAGACTAAACAAGTCGGAAACTCATGGGTGAGTAATCAAAAGTTTTATAACACAGCGCGAGAGGAGTATCGTCTCTCCAATACTCCGACAAATCGTGAAATTCGAATTCTGCCCAATTGGTTAAAAAAATCATCGGATCATATCAAAAGCACTTTGGGCATTTCTCTCGATACGAAAATATGCAGTAAAATGAAAATAGAGACAAAGATGAATCGATCTTTTGCCAAATAGTCACGATGGGAAACTAAACTCTGTTTAGGTCTGCTTCGAAGAGGAGGATGGTAAGAAGGAGCAGAAAAAATCTAATGCCACCAATATTCCGATGACGACGCTGAGGCACGGCGCGACGTCGACCTCACGACACGTAGTCCCGAGATCGTCGACGGGTTTCAAGATCCAGAACGCTTGGGGCGAGTCGAGATCGGTGGATTTGATGTGCTCGTAGCAGGCGTAGCCCGCGGCCGATAGCTTCCGCGACGTGCCGTTAATCACCGGCCTCTGGAAGCACCTCTCGAACAACGGTCAACCGAGCAAGATCAACAAATAGGCTAATTGTATTATCGACGAACTCCAATCAACGTGCACCCGAATAGCAATCAATGGCCCGATTGAAAGGACTGCAGTGATATCAGTTTAGTGACAATTAACTGTCTCTTGGAACCGATAGTATTGACTAGGCTTTTCAGATACTCCAATGGTTACAGTGGCTCGCCTGTACACATTTGTAAACGCTGTAAGGTAGCTGAGAATTATACTGGATAATAATCATTCGACGTGAGATCGGTTTTCACGAAGATGAGAATAATAGCTAAACAGGCATCACTGTATTTCTCGATCGCTTATGAATCCATTACATCCAACTAATTTCCCATGACCATTCCTTTCTACGTACAAGACTTTGTCGAATACGCTTACCCATATTTTGCAGATATTATATTACGGAGTCGACGATAGGATAACCGGTGTGATACATGTATATGGTGATTTTATTCGCAAATTTCTCGCATCTTAGGACGGTGCTCGGAAGAACTGATTCGGCAGAGGAGTGAATTTCAGTTTCAGACGATCACGCGAAGTGGGAACAATTTTTGAAATCGTTTTTTGTATAACGCGAGTGTACATCCGTGCCAATTCTTCCAAACATATCGTATACAAATTTCGTATTACTATATCGGGCTCGTGCGCCCCTGTTCAATTTCCTTTTTTACATACTCTAACGTTGGTGATGAACAAAATCATTTTCAAAGAACGGTTCGTCCAATTGTTCACATCAAACAAAAACTTATGTACATGACAATTTATTATTTAATCCTGTTTTCGTTACTAAATAGCTGAGCTATTTTACTTGTTTTCGGCTGTTCTTAAATTCGATTCCTAACGGAAAAAAGTATCTGCGAAGCGTAGGATTGTGATTATATCGTAGCGTAAACGTGTACCACGCACTTTCGATGCTATCTCTTCTTAGTAAGCGAATTATTTTATCCCTGCATATTACTAGATAATGTTCGTGAGATGATCTTAATCAAATCGATTAGATAGCGTAATTTAATGTTAGGAATGTATGCATTTAACCCGTTCGACGTCAACATTTGCATAGAATTTGAACGAAGTTTGGGTTATACGTGAAGAATATACGTGTTCCACTATTTACATATATTTTACATCGTTACTGTTATTCTCTCATTATCATTATATCGAAAGTTGTTTAAACAAATTGTTTTTCGTATTCTGATTTCCCATATTTTCTATTAGGAACGAATGAAGAATTATGTCAATCGCTGTGAATCATTTAGCACCTACGACGTATATTATACATAATGCGTACAAAGAATAGCGAAGAATTCTGGGAAATAAAATATCGCCCTCGACTGTAGTTATTTTCGTAGGACGCTCAATAGGAGGATAGGAAGTTGAACGATGCTGTACAATCAAAAATACTCTCTAGATAGAACATACACACATATACGTATATCTGTGAATTGATGTTAAAGGCGGTCAATCGTTTCTTCTCAAACCAAAATTCGTTTTCGTGAACATTCGCGAACTCTGATTGCCCTAAGTTGGAAACGAGTTAAAAATCATACGAACAACTAATTCGTTTGTGAGAGTCAACGATAATTTTGTATAGACGTGTTACGATCGGCGATGCATTATCGTGAAACGGTTTTGCTTAAGTATCGTTAAGTGTTAGGATGTAACGAAGTACACGTAAAATACACTGCTACATATCTATTCGGTGTTTTATTCATCCCTATACTTCCCCACTGATCCTAATAATATAACGGAACGTATAATTTTAGACTTCAGCGCACAACTTCGTGGAATTATAATGGCTATTTACAGTACATCTTTTATTGATTTTATGCCCCGTAAAGGCATTGCCTGTTTCTCATGAACCTCAGAAATAGGAACATAAATAATACTTTTCGATCACTTCAAATTACGATTAAGGAAGTTCTATCGAGACTAAATATCATGAAAATATAAAATTCTCTCGTTTTCAATAATTACATACGTTATTCGGATATAAAAAACACATTAACATGTTTGTCCATCGTCGGAAAAGTAAATGAATCGTTAAACATTACGGTGATCGTTGTGTAAAAATGCAACGGCGACCTAATCGTAACGTAGCCTGGTGACACAATGTACCTACACATTCATCTCCAGGCTACGTATTCATAAAGTACATATAACGAACACTGACTGCGTTCGCGAAGCGAAGCGAAGAAGAGAACTTTAATAGAGAAATGTTTCGGGGTTGCTCTATAGAGCGTGAGCAAACGAGCACGTTTTAGGCAAGCGCAGAGAGGCCGCGTAGAAAGCAGAAACGTATGTATGTTACGTATAGAAAAGGTTGTGTACCTCGTCCAAAAGATGAAGCAGGCTACTCTTCAATGGAGCTACGTGTATAGAGATGCCCTAAATACAGACTGTTCTCGCTCGATCTCTCGCGAAAGAGACTACACATAATTCCCCAAGCTTCCAAATTTCAGAAACGGAATATTAAGTCACGCGATGAGTAAAAGGCAAATTCGTAATTCACGAAATTGCTCAAATGATGAAACAACAAACTGATTCCATGATGCAACGTTTCTTTGTAAAAGTAATTATAAGTACATACCTTGATCAATGCTGTAGAAGCTCTGGATTTCACAATGAATCCAGTTCCGCCGTTTGCATATGATACGAATTAATGTTCTCGCACAAAACACGGAGACACTCGCACATGTAACTACTTACGAAACATAACAATACTGGTATTAAAAATGGATTCCGAGTAATATCCGAGATAATTCGAGTGTCAGGTACTTCGAAAGACAATCGATTTTTGATCACCTACGCCTAACATCAGATCATTGGAACTAATTTATCTAGTCTCATACAACTGACTCCCTTCAAATGTTTTCATGCAAAGTGCAAACAATAGACCTTCGTATCGAAATTCTGAGTATTCTTTTCTAGCCGCGTGTGAAATACGTGGATAATTGATCACTCTGTTATAATTTTTTGACTGTACTTACTCTTTCAATTCTGCTCGATTCAAATCCTTAACTCCAAGCACTGATGTTTCGGAGGGTACGTCCGTACTGAAGCGAAGTAGCATAGCCGATCGCGAGATGGCGAACCGAGTGCTTGCGAGCAGTGCGAAACGGACGGTCAATATGGCATGTTCGAAGAGCAATAGCCGGGCACTGGTGTTTAATACGGAAATTTTCCGCGCACAGGCGCTACGTACCGCGTGATCGCATCTCCGCGAGAGCTTTCTTCCCGAGGATGTCCACGTTAAAGATCTCTTTCGTCGGAGACATGTGTCCTCTCCAATTATCCGTGTTTCCTGCGGAATCTCTCGGCATCAACGAGGATGATCCCTCGGCGAACAGTGACCGCCATTCCTCATTACGTGTCGTCTCGTCGTCGTTTGTTATCCCGTAAGGATAGTGCCTGTTTTACCGTGCGATCTTGTTTCCGAGAAGGAGCGGACAGAGTGAAAGAGCGAGAAAGAAAGAGAGTGCGCGCTCCTGGAAGTAAACTGTCCGCGAACAGTGCAAGTTTCGCCTTGCTCTCAAATGTTCGCGAGAAGATAAGTACGGATACGATCGCATGCCAGTCCCCCGTCTTTTATTATTACGCGACGGTCCTACGGAGAATTGACAGGTGGCCGGTAGACAAAGTGATAACGCCGAGATTCGACAGTCACTACCGGGAAGGAGAGAGAGGAGTATGACACTCATGGTCCTGGAATTCGCGGACGCTGCACCTGGTCGTGCGGGTCGGAGATAAAAAACAAATCGGGGGAATTCACGGTGCAGCTACCAGCAGCGGAACATCGGACAATCGAGGTAAGTGCATATACGTACTTTGCAATCGTTCTGTACAAAGAAACTCGAGCGGCTTCAATCGAATCCTTCCCATCCTTCTCGTGCTCTCTTTTCCTACTGTTCCGCTCACGTGACAACTGACAGCGAAACGGCTGTCACGATGACACTTCTGAGATGACGATACGAATCAACGACGTTATGCATTCGCATTGAAACCGTGCTCGATTGCACTTTGAGATATCACCTTGTACACAGTGCAGATTTAATGCCGGTTAATGATATGCGAATTGCTGTTTCCAAAGGTTATGTCCATAACGCACGCGAAATCGTTCCCGTTCTCTCCGTCCATCCATTGTTTACGGATGTAAAAAGTGCAACCGGCATTTTCGTTTCTCTGTACTCTACGCTTTTACAAATCGCGGGTTTGTCATTAGAACGGGAATTGACAGCTGTCATCGTTCTTAATGCGCTAACTTGCAAAACGGTTTATTGCAAAAACAAATGACAGTCACGAGCAGACGAGTTGACAAATCCTACCATCTGTTCTTAGCGCAACGTCAAACAGAAGTCGACTCATTCTTTGCAAGTTACTAATTTGTGACTGCATAATGCGATTAATACTTTCCAAAAAATTCGCATGTCTTATCGGGCACGGGGGTTATTATCGAGTGTCGAGTGATTGCGACACTTTAGGCGAGAAGTTAAGACGGCCTGACGAGTGGAATCGTTCGCTAAACAAATAACAGCTTCTTTTATTCTTTATCGGAGATTCGCGTTTTGAATGCGATCATTGTTTGAACGTCGCCTATTGTCTTCACTCGCCTATAGAGAATTGGACATCGTTTAACCGGACATCATTTCGACGCGGAATGTTGCTCGTCGCCGAACCGCGTCGTCAGTTGAAATTGGGATTCAATTAAACGAACGAGACAAAGAGAATAAGCTAAATGCAAAATATATCTGACGTATAATTACACTGGATTCGAGAAGAGAATTGCGAGACTTTTATTAGAGAATCTACCTCGCGGAACGCGTAAAGATTTTTAAATTCGGAGCGGAATCCGCTCTCGGTGACTTACCGCGTTAAAACAATGGGGATCGCCGCGCGCGATGACCTAAATAGGCGATAGTCCGCTTTTAAATCTGCCGAGATGGAATGCACGCATCAATAAGCGTTAGAGCCTGCTGCATCTGATGATACGGCTGGCTATTTTCATGACCGCTCCACAGAATTTTCACCCGATTCGATGAAATATTGGAACAGTAGAAACATTACGCGGTATTCGAAACAATGACGATCAGAACACAAATTTATTCTTAAGGAATAACAATGACAATCTTTGTCCTTCTGATTACGCAAGTGAAACAGTGTAAATCTACATTGATATGCACGAGCATATGATAAATAGAGCAAAAACGTCTAAGCGTGTCTTGCATTAACGCTTTTGCAATTCGAGACTTTTAGCGTTAAGTGATCGTGTTCGTTTCTACGGCACGTTCCACTTCGATGAATTTATCTTCGGTTCGCGTTTACTAATCGTCGAAAAAATATTTACACAGAGAGCAAGAAGTTATGCATGTTGCGCTTTGCCCCGAAGCCAGAAGTAGTGGCCAGAACGGCCTTGCATGACATCGAGTTGTTCCCTTTCAAAGCAGAAAAGAAAACCACGCAAAGGACACTTACGTCTCGGCGATTCGAGCAACGTGCTAATTGTGCAACGCGGCATGAAACTCAAACACGAATTCGTAATATGCTCTCTGGGCTCGTATGTGAGAGAATTCCTATATCCGGTCGCGTATTACAACCAATTAAAAATAATTTCTATGAACGTGACTCGTAAGGCGATGACTCACAGATTCTTCGAACACCTGAATATTTATTTGTGCACATTGCTTTTTAATGTAGAGCGCGCGATCTCGTAATACGTTCTCGTAATACGAATGATTTCCTTATATAAAAAATTATGTTATGGATAGGAAGCCCTAACAGAAGTCCGGAGAATAAATGACGCAGGGTTTAGTTTAAAAAAAAAATAACCCAATTTATTGCAAAAAAACCCTGAATCCTTAAGATAAATCAAAAAACAAATACATGTGTGGAGGAATTTCCGAATTTTGCGAAGCGCACGTGACTCATGCTACTTCGCATTCAATCCCGAATTTCTAACAAATTGCATTGCAGGTAAACAGGAGTCCGTGATTGTTTCTCCGAATCTCATAAAGAATTTTTAATGAACAGGATATTTAATTACTTACAATTAGTGATAGCCGAAGTGAAAGTCCGGGTTAGATGTTCGTTCGCTCGTGGAATTTTATGAGATCCAAAGTTGGTTTGCGAGCCGAGTCGAGTGCACGGATAGACGTTTTACCTGGCTACCCACAGTATTCGTCCGAATGTAATTAGAAGTTTATTGCGTCCGCTGGGTAGAAGAGTTCCCCCTCGAGAGCGGTATCGTCGTTATACTTTCCTGTCCACTTCCACGTTTTTTAGTACTTCCCTTTACGTCCACTTGTATCGATAATATGTATCTTTGATCTTGACGAAAACCAATCTTCCCCGACTCAATTTACCTGGCCAATCTTTTAACGTAATATCGCCGGTCTTGGTCAAAGTGCACTTGCAAGTACATTAAACGCAAATTACTGTTTTAATCCCAGTTTACGGTCGGTAATTTATTAATGGGAAAACAGGATAACGACGTTATTATCCAATGCGAATGACGCGAGAGCTCATAATTACACGGATCGTCCTCGGCATAGAATGTTAATAGAAATTAATCAACTTATGACGTCTCCGCTTAGAACTCGTATAAAATGGCTGATTCTTTTTTTTAAAAACGATCCAGCTGAGAGAACGTAACAATATATAGTCGCGAAGTCGTGCGATAATTGTGCTAACATAAACCCTATCGCGTTCCTCTTTTACCCAGCTTATTCGCGATGCCGCATTTTCATAACTTTGCGAAACTGTTTCTGCCTCGGTGGCATGCTACACGCCGCGCCGCCGCCGGTTCGAACTATAAAACGTGTTTTCCTTATTTCCTCGGACCCTTATCACGCACCTTATCTACGGATTATAGTAAGAAATGAAATTACTTTGTTACACGTTCCGCATAAAGATACTCCCGACCTATCCACTGAATTTCCACGCTTGTATTAAACGAAATTACAAATTGGCAACGAAAACATTTAATTAATTCATAGCAGAAGCTTCTTTTTATCAAATGTACATATAACGTTTCAGCATGTCGGTGAATAATATTGAAGGTTCGGAGATGGAATTGTAAAAAATTAAACTAAGCAAGTACCATTGACGATCTGTATTAGCCGGGAATTGTGAGATCAAGCAAACGGAGCGGGGAGGAGGAAGAACACGCTAACGTAATCGCAAACAAGAAAGAGAGCAGGGCAGCTCCGATGAGTTATGAAACTCGTGGCTCGTTTATTATTATCGCAACGCCGCGCCGCGCCGGCTCGGCGGGGTTAATCACGCTCCGTCTAACGATTTCCTTGTTAAACTCTCCGCGCTGCTGACGATGCCCAGATTCGTGCCATTTCGTGGAACCTCCGCGAGCAAAAGTCGTCTTTGCTTCTCTGTATTTTCGTACAATCAAACCCTGAAATGCGGCGAATGCGAATGTACTTTCCGTAACAACTCTATTTAGGGTGACGTATGGAAATATGTTTTTAAGAGGATTGTACATAAATTTGCAGTAAGCAAATCTGTCATTTATCTCTCTTCGGATAGGAAAACATAAATTGTAGAACGTGACACAGAGGAAGCCGTGTTATATTTTCCAAATAACGTGTCAAACGAGCACGAAATTGAAACGTCTGCTTTCGTAAAATGTGTCAAATCGACGAGAGGGATGAATTCGGGGTTAAATTCGGGCGTCGACCTTCGGAAAGTCTGCGGAAGGTAACTCCACGGTGTTCGATCCTCTTGGCTCCGTGCAAAAACTGATAAGAAAAATATATGTTCCCACTCGACTTGGTTTCCTCTTTCGCTCCCTTAAGCCACGGGAGAACGCTGACGAGGTACCTTGGAGGCTGGCCAATTTACACCTCGCTCTTCTTTCAGATAGTCAGATAATTTCGGTATTGAAATAATCTCTTCATTCATGGTGGACGTTCTTCGAGGTGTACGAACAATTTCCCCCATATTTCTAATCTGCAATTCATTAAGAAAGCTTGCAAACGAAGAAACGATATCTTCCTTGAGCCTGTTCACAATTTCAAAGGCATACGTTTCGCGATGTACATTACAGATGAATTATCCACAGTTGATGTGAGAGATGAAACTTCGAGTATTTACATTTGTTCAATGATCGAACCCAATCAATTAATTTTTTTAATATTAATAATTAATTTAATATTTACATTTGTTCAATGATAGAATCCAATCAATTTATTCTTGAATTTCAATTCATTAATGAAAATCAATCAAATCAAGTAGTGAGATCGGGATTACATTAATAATGTTTCTCACGATTTATTTATTTCCTCCAGCTGTGGGCGGCTATTATTTTTGGCTTTTTGGTGTTTATAATTAATTGAGATAAATCCAATTCTCTGCACATTTTTAGGGAATGTTTATTTGATTGAGACTCATAATTTCAATACCTATATTTTCCAAAATCTTTCCATGTGTTCAGCTTTTTACATATTTTGCCACTTTTCTGGCATAGATATGTACATATACATACTTAATTCATTGGATACTGGCCCAACGTATGCATAAATAATTTTCCTTCGCCGCATCCCATTGAGATAAGAGGCACGCGTAAGCTGTCTACGGTTATATTGGGCCAAAAATGCGATCAAAAGTTGTAACCGATGTTACTTAAATCGCTGGTCACTTTGGATGTTCAATGAAATGCGGATGAAAATGATTTTTACATCTATCTTCCGGGACAGTGGAAGTTCAGAACTCTCCTAGTCTAAGCGTTTCGTCTGTTATCGAATAGAATAGTAAGTTAATTAGTGTTCATTGATTTTCATTAGAAAGTTAGTAGGGCGGG